GTGACTTTGGCACAGCCTTCCCTGCCTGGGGGACGGCCTGTTTATCCTTCGGCTGGGCAGCCCGATGGGTGTTTTTGCCACGGAAAAAGAGTGCAATGCAAGCAAACTGGCACGGGCCAGGATCTCTCCCACGGCTCCGCCTCAGACTGGCCCAATTTCATGGGCCCGGCCCGCCTGAGTCAACACACAGAGGATGGCATCCAGGCCTCGGAGGGGCAGGCCGAGCCGGCTGGGGCACCCGCACCCCCGGGGAGGTTTTCCTCCACAAACGCACACGGCAGATGTTGATCCCACTGTTTGCAGGTCTCAGAACACGCCGTTCCTGGCTTCCCCCCCCCCGCCCNAGGGAGGCCAGAGAAAAAGGCTCGCCCGAGTGTTTTGAGAGCAGGATCTTCTCTCAGCCTCTCCCTCAGAGTGGCCGAATTCATGTCTTGGGAACTTCAAGGAAAGAGTGTGGTTTGTTTTTTTCTTTTTTTAAAAAAGAGAAAACTTGGGAGACTTTCAGACTTTCTTGGGAAGAAAACACCTGATTTCTAAATGGCAAGACTGAACGTCCAGCCCTTGTGGCTGGGGGCCAGGGGGGCAGGGGGAGAACCTTTGGCCTGCAGGTCTTTTGGCCAGCCACTCGAATCCGCCTCCCACCTGCCTGCCGAGTAATGGAAGGAAGCTATGGGAGTCGTAGTCCAGAGAGAGAGAGAGGCTTCCTCCTCCCCCTCCTGCCCCACTGGATCAACATCTCTGTGCCCTGTGGGGGTCAGCAGGCGGAATTTCAGAGGCCAGTTGGGTGCCCCCTGCCCACTCAGTCCCTGGCATGGGGGCACTCTGGCCGCCCACCGCCTGGGTCCACTCCAAGAGGGCTTTCGGTTTGGTCTCGAACAGCCAGGCCTGCCCCCCTCTCTCTGGAAAGAGAATGCCCCACCCTGGGGAATTCGGAGACGAGACCCCTTTCCCGACACGGTTCCTCTCCGATCCCTGCCAGGCTCATCGACAGCCTTGGAGAGAAATCCGGGGGGAGACTGGTGACATTTTTCTCTTCACGGTTCCTCTCCGATCCCTGCCAGGCTCAGCGACAGCCTTGGAGAAAAGTCCCGGGGGGAGACCGGTGGCATTTTTCTCTTCTGTTATTCACTCACTCACTCACGCGCAATGACCAGATAGGCGGGATATAAATAGAATAAATAAATAAAAATTCTCCCTCTTTCTCTGTCTTTCAATTCCCCAGGTGTTCCGGGACCCACCGGCCCCAGAGGATTCCGGGGAGACCAAGGGATCAAGGGTCCACCGGGAAGCAGAGGACCCAAAGGCGACCCAGGAAGCCTGGGCCCACCGGGGCCCCCAGGAACTCGAGGCTCTCCCGGGGCCCCAGGACCCCAGGGCGAGAGGGGTGCCGGGGGCTCCAAAGGACCACCGGGATTCAAAGGGTCTAAGGGCAGCTTTGGACAAGTGGGTGCCAAAGGGCAGGCGGGCCCTAAGGGAGATGTGGGGCCCCCTGGGCCAGGGGGGCCCCCAGGGGCCCCTGGACTGACTGGACCACCAGGGAAACCAGGCATCCCTGGCAAACCAGGGAGCCCGGGTCCCATTGGGCCAACCGGACCCAAGGGGGACCCTGGGATCCGCGGCCGGCCTGGACTACCGGGGCCACCAGGACCGCCGGGAATCTGAGTAACCCCCTGCTCTTGGCGCAAAAAAGGGGACGTTGGGTGTTGGCGTTAGAGGCAGGCAGCTGCTGGGCAGGGTCTCCTCCACGGCCAGGCGACGGCAGAGGCAGCAAGGCCTGCGCATGCGCTCGCACACGGAGAGACACACACCGGGCTCCTGCTGTCATTGACTCTTCCCTGATGGGACCCGTTTCTAGAAGCTTAGAAGCCGTTTAGCAAATTGCTCAAATGACTGGATCCCCGTTATTACAGAACAGGCAAGGCGCTGCAGCTGCTGTCTATGCGCTCACACACACACACTCACACACACAAGGTCAGCACCGAAAACCAAGCCCTCTCTCTGATATGGTTGCTCACCTTCCTGAGGAGCCCTGCGGGGCCACCAGCAAAAGCGCCCCCCCCAAGACCTGGATAGGCCATCTCCCAGTCCCTTTGCCACCACTTTCTTTCCTGTCCCTGCTCTTCTGCCTTGGGTGACCGTGGCTGAAGCTTTTCCCCTCCCTTCTCTTCATGCAGAGATAAAATTTCAGGTGCTGCTAGATTTCTACTTGCAGGGTGCCACGAAAAGCCCACAAACAGAGAGTAACAAAAAAGGTACAGCGCTTGTAAAAACAGGCCTGTGGGTGACCTTCCCTCCTTTCCGCTGCGCTCATGAGAGCAGCATAAAATGCGAAGTAGGCAGGAGGGAGGGAGGGAGGGTGGACGGACAGGAGGGCCCAGACATAGGAGGCAGAAGCGGCCCAGGTCTTCTGAGGAAGGGGCTTTTTCAGACTGCCACTCCCTGCACCTCCAGTGGCCCCATCATTGGCCGGAGAATCTGGGGGGTGGTTGTCCAAAGAAGTCACTTTGTCAAGCTCTGCAAAAAAGTTCCGTGTGTAAAGCAGGTGTTTTCTGACACAGACTACAAACTCCAGAATGCACCCCTGGCCGCTACTGACAGAATCATCCTCCCAGCAGGGAAATCCAAAGAGATCATCTTTGGACCTTGGTTCCCCCCCCGCCCCCGGGTGGGATTTCAGACTCCCGGACTCTGATTTTGCACACTGCCGGAGAAGCCCTTTCCACCATCGGGGCAGTTCCACAGGCTCGCAGGAGACTCTGGTTTATTCTGCGTTGGGTCCACGGACGTGGAGGGGGACACAGACGTGCCACTCCCCGCACGGGCTGCCTGGTGATTCCCAGGTAAACACAGAGGAGGAAGGGCAGCCGAGCAGGAGGAAGCGGCGAAGAAGGGAGAGGTCGCCCAAGGGGGGAGCTGGCTGCAAACGTTTGGCCACCTCAGGGGAACAATCCAGTATTCTTGTTCCACCAAAAAAACCACCACACACCTCTCCTGTCCAGTTCAGGGTCCCGACGCTTTACCCCAAGCGTGACATTCTGGCAAGCCAGCCAGGAGCTCAGAGAAGTCTGGCTTTTCTGACCTTCAGCATTCCCATGCCAGCAGGCTGTGTGTGCGCATTGAGGAAGTGGTGAAGGGCTGAGGATCCGACCCGCATTTCTGTTGCCAAGGCCAGCCTCCCTCGGGGCCCGGGCCCGTTTGTGGCTGTGCAGCCCTGTGCACTCCTTCCGTGGTGCAGCTGGTTTGCGTCACCCTCCCTTCTCAGCTGTGTAACCTTGTTCTCTGTGTACAATATGAGCGCGCCCCTTTGTGTATTTCCCAGACCAATAAAGATAGAAATGTACAGGTACGAACCGCTTGATTTCCTTGGGTGAGGTGGGCAGAGGTGCTTTCTCCCTTCGGAGACCAGCAGTTGGTGTCTGTGATTCAGGTAGTTTCACCGCCCCATGATAATTTCACTTAAGTGTGGGAGGGACACACCACACGCACACCTGTACACCTACCTGAGCCCAGGTGGGCACACACACCACAGTTCCATCGTTGATCTTCTCAGGCCACCAAAGGGTACCTTCTCGTGTTCAGCCAAAATCTGTCTTCCTGACCTTTAAACCCCTGCCAGTTAAACCTCCGCCCGATGGCCAGACCGGGCCCTCTTTGATGCAACTGCTTTTCAGGAAACTTTGAACCAAGACTGAGCTACCGTTGCTGGATCAGGCCCTGTACTGGAAAAGTGCGGAGAGAGAGGCTCCTTCTGGTATTCTGCAGTTGGCGCTGGATTCACACCTGAGGTAAGCGAGTGACAGCCGAGGGTGTCAGATTTTGAGGGGCTTCTAATCCAAAGGTACAAAAACCATTAAGCCCAAGAGGGTGACAGCAAAGACTGTTTGGTCTGCTGCCATTTGCTCCTAAACACCTCTTTTCTGGAATAGATCACCCTCCCCCCCCTTGAGCAATCCTATCTCTGACTTTCTGAGCTCATTTTAACAGGGTCTACTACCCTGCCCCCCCCCGAGCAATTCTATTTCTGACTTCCTGAGCTCATTTTAACGGGGTCTACTTTTTTTGGTACAGCTGGGATTTCTCTCTTTTGGTTCATTTCCAGCACATGTGATTGCTAGGAACGAACCAAAAGCCTTCCTTTTTATGTTTGGCTTAACAGAGCCACTTCAGGATACTGGAAAAATTGAACACTTCCTTGGGTCCATGGAGGGGCTGAGGAAATGAAAAAAACATTTTAATATGTGTATTAGAGTAGCAAATACATGTATCTAAACACACATATCTAAATTGTAATACACATAACTAATGATTTTTTTTACAAAACTACTTCCTCTGTCTCTCCTCAAAGCAGAGGAAGTGCTCAGTTTGCCAGTATCCTGAAGTGGCTCTCTTCTCAAGCCACTTCATGGCAGCAAATTGACACAGGCTGCTATAAATCTAATGGTACACCAGACGTCCTAGTAGCCCTGTTTAACCCAATCCATTCCGTTCCAGCCCAGCCATGCAGACAAGCCCGGAGTAAGGGTGTCTTGTCTCATAAACGGCTGCCTTGGTTCCTTTTTAAAAAAGAAAAAAGGGGAGTAAAAATATTTTAAATAAACAAATAAAATAAAGATGACGTCCTCTAGCTCGGTCTACAACAGCATCCGATCCCTCTACCCTTGTGACTCATGAGGCTTCCTCTTGCTTCCCCACTGCCACTCCCCATAACAACCTCTCCACATCGCCAAGAGTAGTCAGTCGACTAGATGGGCGGGGTATAAATTCAATAAATAAATAAGAAGCCTCATTCATTTGGGACGTCTCCGAGAACATATTCTCCACCTGCTCGATTCCACAGTATTAGGCATGAATTCTCGGTTACCCACAATATTTATCTGAAGCATTCCCAGCCGTCATTCCGGGCTGAAGCCACTGCTTCTTGAAAACAATGATGTGAGCCATGGAGTTGCTCAAAGGTGGTGGGGATCTTCCAAGATAGCCAGCCCCCTTGGCTTGGACCTGCGCAGTCCGGCTCTCGCCACCTGGACCACCTGCAACCGGCACACGCTAAAGACCTCCCTGTCTTCACAGCTGGTTGCTCCACCTCTTTCCCTCCAAGTCAGCTGCCTTGGCCAAGAAGGCAGGAGTGACTCCCCTGGAGTCCGGGCCTCAGGAACCCCCATCACTCCTGTGACCCTCTTGCAGCTTGAAGGACACGAGAGCCGGCCACGCCGTCTTGGGGGTGGCCCTTGGCATGTGAGTGAATGCCTTCCACCCTCTGCGTTGACCAATATCCCCTTGGGCTCCAACAGCACCCCAAGCCACATGTGACCCCTCTGGACCCCTCACTGCAAAAACCACTGGCACCAGCAGGCTCTTCCACAGAGCTGAGGGCCTGCCAAACTGGCTTTCAGGTGCCTTCTCTGCTTGGCTCCCAGCTGTGAGCATCTGGAGAAGAGCTTCCCAAGGCCACGCAGATGGCCTCAGATGCCCAGGGACGCCTGCCTGCTCCAGCTGGAAAGCTCATGGGAGGGGATGGGGTGCAGCGGGACAGGACGGGACAGAGGGTAAGGCCTGTGCCACTGAGGGCCTGCAGTGCGTTTTCTTATCCTCATCTTTAGAGGACCCTTTTGGGTGTGTAGGAATGCAACATCACACGCATTGGAAAGTAAAGCGCCTTCTAGGAAGGACAGATTCTGGCCCTCAAAGCCCTCTCTCGCCACAGCCTTGTGGACGAGATGCCGTGAGAGTTCACAACTAAGGTGGATGTGGATGCCTGCACAAGGCCGCTGGCATCATCACCAGGGTGGCATCTCTCCACCACCTGGCTGGTCAGCCCTCAAGCCAGGGGAGGTCCACAAGGAGGAGGGGTGGGAGCGACCACCCCTGGTAAGATCTCTGCTTTTCTCTGGTTGGGTATTTCATCTTCAGCAAGGGTGGAACAGGCAGAAATTCAACAGGTTAATTTTTGCCTCTCAGAGCAATAGGAGACCTTCTGTCACATGCTTGTAAAAGTGCAAGAGCAACCCCAGAATCAAAGGTGGTAATCCAGCATACCCCACCCTAGTTCCTTGATACTAGAGATGAGAAATTCAGGCATGAATTTAGGGGGAGACAGAGATCACCAGGAGATGACTGTCCTGCCTTCTTCTGCATGGATTTGGGGGAAAACAGGCTCCAGACAAATCAGAGATGTGGTCTAAAATGTGGAGTTAAAGTCATAATTGGAAGTGGAATAAAACCTGGGCAGGTTTCTATAAGTCTAATAGGTTTGCAGAAAGGAATGGCTGAAGCCTTTCTTGCAGTGACGATAAGAGTCACTGCATGATAGGATCAGTTAAGATATAAAATCAGAAACAAGGAAGAAGAAAAAAATGGCAATCCTAGAGCCAGGAATAAGATCCTGGCTCAGACCCTCAGGCTGAAGGCTCCGCGTAGCCATCACAACAACCGGCCACCACTCTTGGTAGGCCCCTTTCTCTTCCTCTCGAATGCCCAGAATAAGATATGCTGAGACCCTTAGCTTTGTCACGTGTAAGAGGCCAGAGCACATGACCCGCATCAGCACATCATTCTAAAAGTTATGTAAAATTAAAATTCAGCCATTTGTAACTTTTCCGTAGAAGCCCCCAGACTCAATTGTAGCTTAGTGTTTCTTTTGTGATGGGTAATCAGAGGTAAACACAAGCTTCATTTGCAAATCTGATGAGGTGTGGACGGAAGGGCGTGCTTGGAGGAAAACACTATAACAGCCAGAGAGGTCCCTTTCCCTGAACCTGGTGGCCTTTCTTTCTGAAGCCCTGGCGCAGCTGCGGATGGTCGGCTTTATAACAAAGATTAAGTTGGGCGGAAGAGCCTCCCAAGGTGGCTGCGGAGGGTCTGGGTGGGGTTTGGAACGGCAGGGCCCCCACGACGGGGCCATCAGGCGAACTTATTTTCACGTCTGGATTCATCCAGGAAGTTGACGATTCTCCGTTTCAAATCTGCACCCAAATCCCATTCTTTTCAAGGCACGGAATTCCACACTTTAGCCAAGGAGGAAAAAAAAGAACTTTGGGAAGTGGGGTGTGTATGTGTGTGTGTGTGTGTGTGTGTAAGCTCATCCAAACATTTGGTAGGGAATAAATCCCAACGAGATGGACGGAACTGCCTTATCTTGGCAAGCTGGCATCCGATGGGGCTGGTAAGCCCCCAAAAAGAAGAATTAAGCAAAGGGGTGGGATAGCAAGTGAAGTCTGGGTTCAGGACAGTCGTGGGCAGCCTCCCCCACCCCCACCCCCAGTGCCCTCCAGCAATGTTGTCTGACTACAGCTCCCATTATCCCCTGCCACCACAGTAAATGGCTCTGGTGGCTGGTGACGATGGGAGGTGTATTCAGACACGGCAGTGGAGCAGCGTTTGAAGAAGCTTCTTTTTTGGGGGGGGGACCCTGGGGATTGCAGGCCATTTTCAAAGCTCTGCATAGACCCCGATGTATGTGTGGGGGCCCCTGAGTCTTCAATGAGGAGGGGTGTGTTGTCAGTGTTACATACAGCACTGATGTTACCTGTCTGTCATGGGTTTGGAGGGAAAGTTCCATCCTATGGGGAGTGGAAGGCGGGACATCAGGAGGAGGGGCAGTACTGTATATATATGTGGAGCCTGTGTGGAAGAAGCTGGGAGAAGAGCTGAGAGAAGAAGCTTGAGTGGGAGTCTGTGTGTCAGACAGGGTACTACTGTGTGTCAGTCAGTACCAACCTGATAGGTTCAGGTGTCTGTATGGGTAGCCAGAACTGATAGGTTCAGGGTCTGTGCTTTA